GTCTAAGATTCGCCCACATGCAGTAAAGCAAGAACTGTTTGAGATTTCTACAGTATTGTTGTCTTAATGAAAATGAATCACGATCAGTTGACAATCAATATCAGGCAACATCCGTCCTGCACAAAAGGAGAAAGCAGAGTAGGTTACTGCTTTCAAGCGGACTCACTGGGGAGGATTCGATCCGTGACCACGAACCAAAGAACGAGAACGAAAGACTGGTAACAATAGATTTCATTCGTCGAGTCTGAGAAAGACGAACACGTTGAAACATCAGTTGAGTAAACACCAGTATCAACCTCTTGTAAGCCGAAAAATCAAAATCAATTTTATCACGTTATTGACCGGTCTCATAGTGTGTTTTTTTTTCACTGTGCGGATTCTACTACTTCTAGCAATCAATTCAAATTTTCGTCTTCTTCTTAAACGTAAAATATTGAAAAATATTGATTGAGCGTGACTGTTTGCATCTTGAGGATATACCGGCTGTGGAGTTTCATAGGGTGCTCGTCGCTGACTGCCAGAGAATGTTAGAGGTGAGATTGAGCTCCGCGAGCGCCGCGGCGAGCATCGCGACTACTCGGCCGCTCGCTCTCGGGAAAACCAAAGTTTCAGCAGATTGATAAAAAAAAGAAATCAAAATTACAGTTCTATTAGTCTCTATATCTGTGGTCAAAAGACGTCGTCCGGAGTATTCTCATCAAGCATACGCCAAGTATGCATAGGCTTATTTTTTATCAGTAATCTATTCAGTGGCCTTTTTCTCATTACATTCACTGAGCATTTTAGCCTGCAGTATTCCGAGATCACTTCTAAAAACTAATTCGACAGTTACCCATAGAAAAATCGTGAGCCGTTCTAGAAGGAATGGGAGAACATTGACCTTCAAGGATGCTGTCGTCTCCTCAGAAGAAAGGAATACTGGATAAGACGCGTAATCGAAGCGGGGGAAAAAAATGATGGAATAACGTAAAAAGAAACTTTCTTTTCGAACTTCAAGAGATCCAGTCTTGTTGAGATTGAAGCCGCTATGTCACGAACATCCATTCAAATTAAGGTTTTCAGGACAGCAAAGTTATATCTCATTGGAAAGAGCTGCATGAATCCCGACGTTTAGCTGAGCGGATACTCAGAATACATTATGCATATACTTACGTCATTTGAAAAACTGGCCCTTCATCTGCGGCACTGAAAATCAATCGCGCATTTCTTGTTGATCAAGCGAAAGCACGAACTTAGTAAAAAAAAAGCTGAATGATTATAGCAAAGTTATCAGTGGCCAATGATAACCAATCACCGTCCTGTGTAAAAATAGGAGAGCTGAGGGAGGTTCTCATGAGAGCAATGCTCCTCCAAAGAAAATCCGACTAGAAGGGAACGAAGGCGAAGACTACAACGAGGACGAGCGACTCTGGAGCATTTGCTCGAATTAATAGTCTCTGAAGAAGATGAAACATCGGAAGCGATTCGAACCCGCATTACATCCTTTCAGGTCGCGCGTGCCAAACATTGCTCTACCTGCGCTCGCTCTACAGATCACTCTTTTGTGTGACACAGTTGTATCGATCTGTCAGCAAACAACCATCAATGGTTTGACCTGGCAAACCGATATCGGCATTGAACTCAGTCACAATGACAGGTATTATATAAATGTATTCAACTGAAACTTTTTTATTGACCTCTTGTAACAGTGGTTGTACTGGCTGTTCAGACAGTTTCGGGTTAGTCTTTAGCACCGAAAGTTGCTAATCGAAGTAGAGTGCTCGGTTTTACACGAGATTTTATACGTGAGACTTTTACGAAAAACAGCTCACATCTGGATTATAACTGTCTTTAGCAATAATGACAACACAGCGTAAGCGAGCTGACGATTTAGTTGAGCGAGTAGATACGAAGTTGTACGGTTAATTAGAATACTGGACGATACGAAGTCAGCGCACCACTGCCCAGAGGATATCAGCATCGCCTAAGTCCTTGACTCACTTATATATAAGCCGATGACAAACATTCTCTCTAACTGAACATAGAAGCCATATCACAGATAACAAGTGTGAGCACAAAGGATTTCTGGTGAACATCCGATGGAAGGAAGTATAAAAAGTTGCAAAACAGACGTTGTGATGCAAATGTAACAAGGGGCTTCTATCATATTCACTTCAAAGCGATTTCATCGCGTCTAGGAATAGCCCACAGTATAAGTTTATGAAAATCTTGAACTGAATGTTTCAGAAGATTCAACTAAGATAGCAACAAATGTAGGAAGGAGTTAATGCAGGAAATACACAATAATAAAGAAATAGTGAATATTCAGGAATATTTACTAAAGTTCCGCTCTTCGAAATAACACGATGAGTTGGTGTTGCACCGTTGGAAAAATCCGATCTGAGCTGCTCGTGTGATCTTTCTGCTACGACTGCTTCGTCTACGGTTTAACGATAGCTGTGCAGTGACATTCGGTGCATTCATCTTGCCAGTGTTAGCTTGTAACAAGCCAACAAACACAGTTCGGCGCTCGGCTGCAAGGCGATAACCAGCCATTAGCCAGTCGACATTAACGGCTGCTATGACTCATTGCCTGATTATGCAAGTAGAATATAAAAAATTTGATGATGTGAAATAAAACATGGCTGACAGGGAGAATAGCAGATTATTCAGGAGAATAACTGCTATACTACCTCCTGCGAAGGAACTGTGTGGATTCCTAGCTTGTTCAAATGGCGTAGATGTTTTAAGACGCCTATTTCACATGATTGTGATTTCCTGTTCTCCTTTCTTAATTGCTTGCAGTGTGGCGATTGCACCATAAGGGTTTTTGCGTTTGTTAAGATCATTGTCGGGTGCTCACTTCTGTTGGCGATTGCCTCGTTGCTTTTCATGCCGGAATTATGATCGTGAATGTAAACAGGAATGCCTGGTGTGCTTTGCCGCCTCGCCTCAGCGATTTGCATGCATTTGACTTTGTTGTGGGGCTGTTGTTTAGTGCATGGTATCCATAGAGAAAGTTCATACTCATCGCCCTCTTCTTCTGTTTCGCTAATTTCGCTTTTATGTTCTTTTTCATCCTGGCCTGTTTCGAGGCTGTCTTGAGTTCCATCGTTTTCCTTCGGCAGCCCTAAGCAAGGCAACGGGAAAATGGTGAATCACATTAAGAAAACCATCTTTTAGTGATTCTCTATCATCAGTGTAATAAAATAAATCGTCTGTCCTCTTTGTGTCAGAAAAATCACTTTCGATTCCGATTTCGCTTTCATTCGGGATTTGTTCGCAGCTTTCTTTAACTTCTTCGTCTTCTTCCTGCTCTTCTGCTCACCACTTCTAGATTAATGGTTCATCATATTTTACAATATCGTTCTCCAGTGATTCCTTACCATCACTACATTGAAAAAGACTGCCTTTTTTGTTTTTATTGCACTGATAATCCTGGTCCTCGTGAGTTGGTACACAGACATTGTGCATCACGAAACAGCCTGTGGTTTGCTGCTGCTGTGACTGCATATTGTTTACCTGCACCAGTGTGTTGTCTCTTGATCATTTTGCCTTCTTAGACCATACTGTATTGATCATGGACGGACTTGTCCTTCTTCTCTTTGAGAAGTTTTGTAGTTGTGCGCGGTGTCGCTTCGCTTTATTTTTGCTGTTATATACAATCGAATATGGTGTTCGTGCTCGTTACACTTACGCACGGACTTGCCTCGCACACGAGAAAACAGCGACATGGTGAACCACAATTGTAGCAATGGTTTCGGTTTACTATCATTTGAAATCTATCTTGATAAGTTCTTATTTTAGCGTAATTATTGGGTAAGCGTCTTGCCTTGTCGCAGTAAAAGCATGATTATGTTTACTTATGAATGTCCTTTGATGGCTCTTGTGCGTTTCTTGTGACTGACAATGCGACGTGTTGTTACCGACATTTATTGGTGCCATAGGTTTGCTCATATGGCTTTGAATAGTCAGCTCTATGGTTATGTATTCCTAGATTCCTTGATGGAGGTCCTCAATCTTGCGTATCTCCGCATTGCTTTGTTTGCTTCAATGAGTCGCTGAATTTCACTCGTGAATGTTTTTAGAAACAGTTGTTGTAGACACATGTCATCGACGTGCTCTCCTTTATATAGTAGTTGATCGACTATCGAATGGAGAAATTCGCACAATATTTCTTGATCCTCTTGTCGATTACTATCTGCTCGTGCTTTGTGTAAGCGATTCAATATTTGATTAACTAGGACTTGTGTGCTGCCGCACATGACCTTTAGATGATTTTCCATAATTAAATCATTTTGAAGTGGTCATTCCTTTGTTTGAATGGACAGAGTGCCCGAATGCTTCAAAATGCTTCCCAATCCCGTAAATCATGGCAAACTTTGGAACAGGGATGAGTAGCAAGTTTATTCTTGGTGGGCTACGTTTCAATCATTATTCTTGCGTATAGAACTTTCTAGTTCATTTTCTAGGCCTAAATGTCTAGGGAGGTAGTCTTCTGCCTTGTCCAGGTGCTCCAGTGTCCTATCTATGTTAACTAGTGTGCTTTGCTTCTGCTCTTCCGATGTTGGAGTTCGCAGTCCGAGGTTGCCCACGGCAGCAGTATAGCCGTCCAGTGTTGTCTAGACATTGTCTGGATTTTCGTAATAGCTGATATCACCTGTTTTATAGGGTTTTTTTATGGCGATCTATTCCGTTCGTCGAGATCCGTCACTCATCTCATCATCTTTCTCATCTTCATGGGTATTAAATGAGGATTAAAGACGATTGACAGCTTTCGTTAGCGCCCCCCCCCATTCGCGAAGAGAAGGTGACTGACTTTTCAGTTAAAATAACAGCAACCACAGGTATAATACAGGAAATCATAATAATCAAGGAAAAGTAACTATTCAGGGCTAGTTACTATAGTGGTCTGGCTTTACGACAGTGTATCCGATATGATTCTTTTTATTTTGACTGCCACTTGCAGTGGTGTGATGTTATTAGTATACCCAATATGTGGAGTACTGTGCAAAAACGTTTGCGTCAGCAGGGATTCGAACCCAGATCTCACTCTTTCCGGAAACGAATGCTAGCCGTTGCACCACCAACGCTCGTTCTGCACAGCACTCTTATTTACGCTATAACGATTTGTCTGCCAACAGCCAACAGGTGGTGCAACGGTTAGCATACCCTCTCGGAAAGAGTGAGATCTGGGTTCGAATGCCTGCTGACGCAAACGTTTTTGCACAGTACTCCACATATTGAGAATGTATCCGATAATATTACAAATCACTTAACATTGTTAGAGACATATCCGTAACACCAAATCATCACTAAAAGCGGTAAACGTTTGTGCTATGCGCCTACTTCGTCCTATTGGGACTCATCAGTAGCACCCTCCCTCGGCTCCGTCGATCCCTTGAGGCTAAATAATTCTCTAAAGGATTCGACGCCTAGTGAAAAATTTAATTTAATTTTTGAAAAATTTATCAAATCATTTCGTTTTGAGGGGGTCTGTGAAGAGCGGTCGATAGCAGAGGTACAATTTTCTGCCTTAGTGATAATGCTTCTTTTATCAGTCGGAAGAATCCTGCTGGTACTTCTTTTAACAATCCCCAAAACCGACTATCTGTTAACCTCGGCATGCCCCAATATTCCTAATTTTTCTCTCTCAAGACAAACACGAGGTGTAATATTAATCATTAATCAATAGCTGACGTTCCACGAAAGCAACCTTTGGAGGAGAATAGTTGGCTCTGAACAAGGCGAAATGCCCAAACGTCAGCTGTTGAATAAAGATTGATGTAACACCTCGTGTTTGCTTAAAGAAGAAAATTAGGAATTATTAAAACATGCCGAGGTTAATGGATAGTCGGTCTTGGGAACTGTTAGAGGAAATACCGACATAGAAGAGCCTCTAAAAATAGCAAATCTCTAAAAGGCGATCAGACCGCTTCAAGTGTTTGAATCTGAATAAGACTGCAACAGCAAACTTCTTTCCTAAGCCGTAGAGCAATTGTATGATGAGAATTCCATGGTTCATAGTTGCGCTCAAGACGTTTTGTCTTTCTGCCATCCGCAAACCGACCGTGAGTGTAGATAACACAAGCTAATTACTGTTGATAAGAGTTTGCAAAAACTCAATTTTCGCCATTAATCCTCAAAATCAAATTGGAAATATGCAAGTAATGCACATGTTCGTTTTTGTAGAACTGACTTAGCGGCATAGCTGTTATATAAATAAGCTCAAGTTCAATATATTCAAGATTGCTAATCGCGAAAATGGAAAACAAGACATTTCGACGAATCGTGGTAGGACTCCTATTCACAAACAAAGATAATGTCTTTGGTCATGCACTACAATAGAGCAGAAGAAATCGACAAACTGTATGAATCACTACTAGAGTCTTGAATACTAAGGGAAGTGATGAGAATTTTCTATACCCCGTCTCTTCTACAGCTAGAGAGATCTGTTTAGCGAACGACAAGTTCTCGACGCCTCCTTAAACTGGAGGATGACAACAAGGCTTTAAAAAACCATGCTCATACAACTGCGAAAAGTAGTAGCAATCGGGATAGATAATATGCGCTTGTATAGCACTCAGATATGGCTCAAAACATGTTGCATCCTCATACAACCAGCGTTTCTTCCCACTCTCGAGTATTTCTTCGCACTTCAGAAATAGGCAGTAGTAGTGGACGAAGAAATGAGAACAAACAGTTGAAATATCAAAATAAGGAAGTACAAGGACATAAATAAGTATACTGGCCTTTCACTTAATAGAAATAGAGCACATAGGCCTCTCATCTGAAGCAGAAATTTACTGACAAGGATATGACATGCTTTGAGCCGCTAGGTTTAGTGCTAAACATGTTATTTCGCCCTATTGGACTCAGTAGCACTCTCCCTCGGTTCACGGATCTTGAGGCTAAATAATCCTATAAAAAGGAATCGCTGCCGAGTAAAAAAACCCTAAGTCGGATGATGGTTGTTGTGACCGGCAGTCGAGCTTGCGGCTTATAACAATGAATCATATCTCTACTATCAACCGCTCTTTTATAGATCCGCTCAAAACTATATAATCTGATAAGGATATGGCATGTTTTGAGCTGCTAGGTCTAGTGCTATATAGTGCTACTCGGAGTTAATTCCTTTATAGAGAATTATTTAGCCTCAAGGGGTCGGCTGAGCCGAGGGAGGGTGCTGATGATGAGCCCCAATAGGACGAAATAGGCGCCTATTTAGCACTAGACCTAACGGTTCAAAACGTATCACATCCTTATCAGATTAGATCGTTTTGCAGCGGGTCCATCGAAGAGCAGTCGATAGTAGAGGCAGAAATTTACCCTAATATGCTTTCGACGATGTAGCTTCTATAGAGGCACCAGTGGTTTTATTTTGGTGCACAAGAGCTTTCTCCTGGATCTTGTACCCAGTCAGTATCTTATTCCATGCAGATGCTACAACATATGTCGTTCATGGAAAGACGTCTTTTCAATGATTTATCACCCTATTGTTCAAAATATATTGTATTCATGTTGTTGCTTTCGGTTACAAAAAGTTGAAACTCGTCAAGTGGTAGATTAGTGCGAGGATAGTCTTTTCTGGGGCACTTAGGGTTCTACACTGACACTTCATAAGCATTCGACTGATAGCAAGAAGCTCAGAAAACAAACTTTTGTGCGCTAAAATAAAGCAACGATAGCACCTTGACATCTAAAGAAGCCAAGTTTGCTACTAAATGGAACAAAATTTGATTATCGGAACCATAAGTGACGTTTTGCAGAACTTCTCGTGTATAGTATATCTATCTGATGTATTTACTGAATATTAGATTACCATTTGATTTTTGAATTTGTATGGTCCTTGCATACCTATATATGTATGTATATATATATATATATATATGGATATAATTATTTTTTTTTCTTTAAGCGAGCCGTCATCACAGTTTTCATTGCGCAGACCACAGTACTTCTACCAAACGATTCCTTTCTCCTCCTTTTTTTTATTTGACGTGAAATACTGGTCGAGCATGTCTCCTTGTAATCTCGAGGATCAGCCTGGCTCTGGCGTTGCAAAGGGCGTTGTTGTTGACTGGCGGGGAAGGTTAGGGGGGTGAAGTTCGGCTCCACGCGCGCCTCGACGAGTATTACAACCACTCGGCCCAGAATTAATACCAGAGGGAAGTGAACTGAAGAAATCCGTAATGTCAAAAGCTTGCTTCGAACTGAATATGATCAAATGAAGAAAAGATGCCGATTTGATGTGTTACAAATTCTAATCTCTTCAAACCTCACGTTTTTCTAATTTCAAACTTTTCTTCGTCAGGAATAATGTCTCGATCAGTTAAAAAGCGAGAAAGCATGTAAGAAATAGTGCCAGAGTTAGTAGAAATTTGAGAGTTCTCAAACGACTTTGGATTTACTTATTTTTTTACTTGTTTATTCGTTCATTCATTTAGGTATACATGCGCGATTCCTTTCTATTTTATTACACGACTGATCGTCATAATTTTATGTGTGATTCCCAGCACTTAGCGCATTCGATTCTTAGATCATGTTCTCTAGTATTTCATCTATTACAAATGCAAGCTTTTCTAAAATTACCACGGAGGAGATTGAATCAGTGACCTTATACCCGACGACAGACATCGGAATTTACTTGACATTGCGGAGTGCAAACCGAACACGGCGAGCCGGAGCTGACGGCGCCTCCGTGCCCGACCAGATGCGTTAAAGTTTACGCACTGATCAACCGAAGTTTTTCGGTTGCTTTTCGCATTCACACTGAAGTGCACATGCACTAGAGATGGTCTGTAACTTGGATCGAATTAACTGCGAATCTTCGTCTCTCTAAACTCTCCAGATATCTCACCAACTGCCTTTCAATTTCCGAGCATCACTACAAATCTTTCCTAAAAAAACTCCGTCTTTGCAGTGAACTAGAGCATTTCGGTGCTACTACTCAAAGTCGACTAATGCTCTTCCACAACTGAGGTGGACAATCGCTCGACCTTTCAAAGGAGACTCGAAAAGAGTGTAGCATGTTTTTGACAAAAACTCAAACTTAAATTCGAAGAGTGTACTTTATTTAAAAGTTTTATAATTCAACTACTGCCCTTATAACTGACACATTTTTGACAATGGTTATTGTTCTTTGACGAATTCCAATAATTTCTCAATCTCGAGAAATCAGAATGATTAGTTTACATGAACATTTGATTGCTTAGCAACTTAACACTGGTGCTAAACATAAGATATGCCTATCGGGAAATTACACCACTCTGATAGATGAGATTTGTAAAATGATTTTGACGGCAGGAATGGGAACCTCGACGAAAAGATTTGTTGGTATGCACCTGAAAAGTGGAATGTTATTGTGATAATAAAAAACTTTCACCTGATTGGCAAATGTTAACAGTCCTCATTCTGACTGAAGTAGTTCACTGTGTATTGAAGTATGATTGCCGCATAAAGGCCGCAGTACAATGGATCCAGCTCGTTTACATCTCAACAAACGTTTTGCCTGGCAGAACTTCTCTGATACATTTATCATCCACAGTCCTTCCAACAAATATGATACTTTGGAAGTGGTTTGGTAAAACAATAATCAATAATATTTTGCATTTATCTCCGGTTGATGGCATTTCACAGTTGAAGAATTTTGATAGTAAGGACAATACCACCCAAAAACCGATGTCGCTGTAGAAGGTGCAGAGATGTTATAGCTGCTGTACTTAGCCGAGCACAGGCATTGCGGGATAGCTTTTTGCTAACGACAGACTAGACGCTTGCTGGAAAAAAATTGTTATATAGTCCTGAACTTATCGTAGATGCACGTACACAACTTGCACGACTAACATGGAATCAAATTTTTTTCTCTTCACATGCAACTAGCAACTCCTGCGTACAGTTTGAGCACAGAAGCTATTGTTCGTATAAACACGTAATCCTTCACTTGGTCATAGCACTTTAGCATTTCATTATTTGTATCCACTGTGTAGATCCCAGCACTTCTAGAATTCAATCGCTTTTTCATTTTCTTCCTGAATATTGTAGAATACTAATTGAGCACGTCTTCTTGCTAGATTAGAACAGAATGAATGTG